TAAACTGTGAACTGGACTAACAATAGATCCGGAGGATTTTCTGAGTGCTGGAATGGATGATGTCGGAGGGGTAGAGGAGGAGAACCCCGGTGTCCCCTCTGGGTGGTGTGGGAGCGGTGGCGGGGGGGGGGGTTGGAGATGGGGACTACTTTGGTAGAAATGGGGAAACTGAGGCCCAGCAAGGTGGTCACGGTGGCCTGACTGCCCCCTGGTTTCCGGCGGCCGCCAGGGCACCAGGTGGGGAGCGAGACGCGGTGATCACATTTCGTCCCCTAATGAGCAGACCGGAGCTGGCCCGTCCCCTGGGGCTGCCAAGGGGGTGGCGGGAAGCAGAGCAGGCAGAAGAGGGAAGGGGGGCAAAGAGACAGTCCGGTGGCTTCTAGGACAAGGCTGGTGAGTGAAACCTGACGTTGGTCAGGGATGCGGTTGCGGGGGGGGGGGGCGCTGCATCACCTTTCCCTCGTGTCCTCTCAGCCCTCCAGAGTCCTTTAGCCTTACTGGATTTGGGGTGGCTGGTGGGGTCCAGAGTCTTATCTGGCTTGAGCAGCCAAGAGACGAAGTGGGGGCTGGGGTCTGACCAGTCCTTCCGGTCCCCTCACTATCACTCCACACTTGAGCTTATCTCTCCTCCCTTCCCTGGGAGGGGCTAGCAGGGACCAGAGATGGGGGCCTGGGGGCTAGGGGGAGCTCCTTTTTTTTTTTTTTTTAAAGATTTTATTTATTTATTTGACAGAGATCACAAGTAGGCAGAGAGGCAGGCAGAGAGGGCGGGGGGAAGCAGGCTCCCCGCTGAGTAGAGAGCCCCATGCGGGGCTCGATCCCAGGACCCTGGGATCATGACCTGAGCCAAAGGCAGAGGCTTTAACCCACTGAGCCACCCAGGCGCCCCTAGGGGGAGCTTCTTGTTAAAGACTTGGGGGTTCAATCTCCAATAAACCTCAAGTAAGGGAGGAAACATAGATCCCAGCTAAAGAGGAGCTTGCCCCCACCCCCCGCCCCGGCCCGCCCCAGGCTGGGCAAGGGAGTCAGGTGTTGGGGGTGCACAAAAACACTGTGGTCGTTGCTTTTTGGTGGGGAGAAAGTCCTTCCTTGTATCTTTCAGCAGGTTCTCAAAGGCGGCTGATAACCCCAGAAGGACTTGAGAAACATTACAGGAGCACAGGGAGTGAGGCGAGAAAACATTTGGGGAAAGGGGAAGCTCTTGGGTCAAGAAGGACAGGAGATCTGCCCGACGCTGACACGTCACGTGACTCAGACAACGGTCTTGCTGCTCTGGGCCTCACTTTCCCCACATGTACAAGGAAGGGGTCAGAAACAGCCTTACACTCCCAGTTGGAGCGTACAGACCTATAGCACCGTGAAATGCTTTGAGTCTTAATTCTGGTTCTGTGATTTTGATGGTTTGATGGTGGGCAGATCTTAGGTGGCGAAAAAAGAGGGCTGAGTGCCCCCCCCCCCCCGCCCATGCCCAGAATCCCCAGGAAGCAGGTGGGTTGAGGAGGAAGGAGGAGGAGGGGGAAGTGAGCCCCCAGCTGGTTCCCCCTCGAGGAAATTAGCCATGAGAAGCGTATTTCCTCTGGCGTCTGGAAAAAAGTCTCACGCTTGCTGTGCTGTACCCACTCCAGGCTCAGCAGAACCCAGGAGGGTCTGGCCAGCGCAGGGCAAAGGGAACTCCCAGCCTGGGTTCCTTTCTTGTCTCAGCTCTCCTGTGCCTGTGGAATAATAGTAATTGTTCAAATGCTGCGCATTTTGCAGATGATATGCCATCCTACCAAGGATTTTCTTGTCTGTGATGTGAATAGTATAAACTTTTTGCTCCCTCCCCCTTTATACAGAAAGGGAAACTGAGACTCTGGAAAAAGCATGAAGTTTCTCGATGTTACAAGAAAAGGGAGAGACAGAGGGCGAGAGAGGAGGTTTTTTTGCGTGGACTTGGTCTGGGTGGAGAATATTCGAAGGGAGGAGATGGATTGCCCTGTTCCAGCCCTGGGAGCTTGTGCTGTCTCCACCCTTTGTCCACAGGATCCAGTAACCGCTGTCTGCGAGTCTGAGGTGGGGGCAGCCGCTGGACTGCTAAGGACCCCACAGGGGGTAGGGTTTACTAAGCGGGACTCAGCCCTGACCTTTCAAAGTCAATTATGTAGCGGATAGATCCTGCCCTTTTCATTTTATTTCCCTTCCGACCTCTTTCCCTGGGACCCTGCAGGGACTTCTTTGAACTTGCAGCTGCCTCAGAGGGAGAGGGAGCCTGCTTTGCAGGATGGGCTGACCAATGCCTGTTCCTTCGACCCACAGTCATTTACTGAGTGTCTACTATATGCTCGGCCTCTTCTGGGTGCTGGGAGACAGCAGTCCACACAAGGTTACTGCCCTCCTGGAATGTCCATTTCAGACAGACAGACAGATGGGAACAAGATACAAGGTGATGTGAGGCGACAGCCCTGGGGGTGGGTGGGCAGGACTCTGGGGGATGGGGAGGGCCTCCCTTGTGGGAGTGAAGGAGGTGAGGTAGCAGAGTCCTAAGAAGATCCGAGAAAGAGCAAAGGTTCTGAGGCTGAATCAAGAAGGTCATGGGTCTTCAGCCTGCTGAGGTGGGGGAGGAAAGAGGGGGGAAAAGTGAGGCAGTGCCTTATTCCCTGGGGCAAGGAGTTTGGATATTATCAGCAGTCTACTGGGAAGGCACTTGGGGATTTCAGGATTTCAATTTCCAGCAGAGAGGTAATGAGAGCTCATTTTCATGTTAACAAGACCTTGGCAGCTGCCCTGTGGGAAGTGAGTTGAAGGAAGCCAGAATGGCAGCCACGAAAACCAGTGAGGAGCTACTGCACAGGTCCGAGCAAGCAGCGATGGTGGTGCAGAGCAGACAGTGGCAGGAGGTTCTGAGAGATATGCATGGATTCAGGGTTTATTGTGGAGGTAGAGCCAAGAGGACTTTCCCATGGAAAGATGCTTTGGCATCTGGGAGGTTCCCAAGAACCCAGTGTATGATGTTGGGCTCATCCCTTCACCTCTCTGGGCCTTGGTTTCCTGATAAATCCAGTTGACTCAACCACTGGTTTTCTAAGTGTGTCCTGGGGGCTTCTTCAGAGGTGGCGTCCCCTGCCCCCCACTTGATTTCATTGAGAACATAGAGCAGCTTCTGTTTTCCACTGTCTTGGATGGCTTTCCAGTTTAAGATCTTGTTTAAAATGATAGTTATAATAATAATAAAACCTTTCACATCTTAAAAAACTAACCCCATGCAAAGCCCTAGATAGAGTGACTTACAAAGGTGCCTCTGACTCAGGACTTCGCTCCCCTACCCTCTGGGCTGACAATGGTCAGGATCTTGGTCCATGACTGTCCTTTGCCCCGTGTGTGCAGGTCTTCCCAAGGGGGTGACAGGCTGAGGGGTCTCACTCAGGAAAGTTGGCTGGGGACAGAGACAATGAGGGAAGCAGACCCTGAGGGAGGGACGCTGGCCCTGCTGCCAGGGCTCCCCTTGCTGCTAGAATGTGATCACTTCCAGTAGCCCCTCCTTCCCCCCCCAAAGCAGCTATGGTTCCCAGCCCCCACTGCCCAGCCCAGGGCCCTTTCTGTTCAGTTATTCTTGGGTGGAAATGTGCACAGGCTGGAGAAAAGGGGCGAGAGCCGATATTATCCCTCAGTCATCATCAGGACCTTGGACAGGTCTCCGAAGGGCTCTGTGCCTCAGTTTGCCAATTAGGAATGATAACGATATGTTCGTTGTAGGGATCTTGAAAATTTAGTGTATTAATGCCCATAAAAGTGCTTAGAACAGGGTCTGCGATGTAGTAGGGCTCAATAAGCTTTAGCTGTTATTAACTGTCTCTGTCATTGTCAAGGATGGGGTGTCCTGGGTTAGCAGCAGAAGACTGATTCCAGCCCTAGTTCCATCACGACCTTGCTGTGCATCCTTGGCAGGAGTGAGCAGTCTTTCTGGGCTTCACGTCTGTTTGGGAAATGACAGGTTAGCATTTGCTGAAGCGTGATACAATACTTGTGCGTTTTACACAGTTTCTGGAAGGAAATTATAAAATCTGAGTGGGGTTATTAATGTCTATCAGGGAAAATAGATCCGGACCCCCAAATCTGCATTTACAGAGATCTGTTGCTTAGAACGAAGCTCAATTAGATATCGATAGGATGCCCGCTCTCAGCAGCCCATGGGTTATGGTGAGGGGTGGGGGGAGAAGGGGGTGTCCGTGACTCCCCTCACCGCAGACCTCTCTCCCCACAGGCACCATACAGTCAGCTTTGAACTGTGAGCTCCCACCACGACCAAGCCAAGCCAGAGCCCCTCCCCTGCCCCCTTCAAATTCCTCACTCCATCCGTAATCCTCCTCCATAATAGCCTTTACTCACCTCCTTCCTGTTTCTTAAACACCCTTCCCACATTTCCCGGACTAAGGGCACCTTTTCCATAATCTTGTTTGTTTCCTTATTTCTTACTGGGGTCCTAGGGAGCACCAGCACCCAACCGACCCTGCCTGGTGTTTTCAACCCTCCCTAACTGTAGTCTGTCCTATCTCAACACTATCGCACATATTTCATGCCTCTTCTAGAACATTCCACCCCCCATCCCTTCAACGTGGCCATGCGTACTTTCTATATCCTCTACCAATATCTCCCTCTTACGACTGCCCGATGAGGCCTCCATCTCTTCCATAAACACCCCCCTCGGCCAATTCTTGGGCTACCCCTCAACTCCCTCCTTTCCACTCTGTTTGGGTCTGTAAACACCCCCTTGACAAAGCTTTTTTTTTTTAATACCCCCTCCCACCCCAAGCCTCCCTCTGATCATAATTCTATCCTTCCCCTGACTTTTCCCTCTCAAGCTCTCCCCTTCCCTGCCCAGGCCGGTCCAGGATTCACGGTCACCCTCATCTCTCCCCCGTGGACTGCCGCCCACCATGTTCCCCTGAGCCTCCAAGGAGGGGGCTCAGGGGGCCCGATGGCCTCCCGCCCCCCGTGGCCCCACAGCCCCCCTGGGCCGGGGGAAGAGCCTCGGGAGCCCCAGTGCCGAGGATGGGCAACCGCACGTGGGACGGCTGCCACGTGGACTCGCGCGTGGACCACCTCTTCCCGCCGTCCCTCTATATCTTTGTCATCGGCGTGGGGCTGCCCACCAACTGCCTGGCCTTGTGGGCGGCCTACCGCCAGGTCCGGCAACGCAACGAGCTGGGCGTATACCTGATGAACCTCAGCATCGCCGACCTGCTGTACATCTGCACGCTGCCGCTGTGGGTCGACTACTTCCTGCACCACGACAACTGGATCCACGGCCCCGGCTCCTGCAAGCTCTTCGGCTTCATCTTCTACACCAACATCTACATCAGCATCGCCTTCCTGTGCTGCATCTCAGTGGATCGCTACCTGGCGGTGGCCCATCCACTGCGCTTTGCGCGCCTGCGCAGGGTCAAGACAGCCGTGGCTGTGAGCTCCGTGGTCTGGGCCACGGAGCTGGGGGCCAACTCAGCACCCCTGTTCCACGACGAGCTCTTCCGCGACCGCTACAACCATACCTTCTGCTTTGAGAAGTTTCCCATGGAGGGCTGGGTGGCCTGGATGAACCTCTACCGGGTTTTTGTGGGCTTCCTCTTCCCCTGGGCCCTCATGCTGCTGTCCTACCGTGGCATCCTGAGGGCTGTGCGGGGCAGCGTGTCCACCGAGCGCCAGGAGAAGGCCAAGATCAAGCGGCTGGCCCTGAGCCTCATCGCCATCGTGCTGGTCTGCTTCGCGCCCTACCACGTGCTCCTGCTCTCCCGCAGCGCCGTCTACCTGGGCCGCCCATGGGACTGTGGCTTCGAGGAGCGTGTCTTCTCGGCCTACCACAGCTCGCTGGCCTTCACCAGCCTCAACTGCGTGGCTGACCCCATCCTCTACTGCCTCGTCAATGAGGGGGCCCGCAGTGACGTGGCCAAGGCCTTGCACAACCTGCTCCGCTTCCTGGCCAGTGACAAGCCCCAGGAGATGGCCAACGCCTCACTCACCCTGGAGACCCCGCTCACTTCCAAGAGGAACAGCATGGCCAAGGCCTTGGCAGCTGGCTGGGCGGCGGTTCCACCCTCCCAGGGGGACCAGGTGCAGCTGAAGATGCTGCCACCCGCTCAGTGAACCCCCAACTCGTGCAGAAACCCCTCACTCCTCCAGTCTTAGCTCCCTTCCCTTTGGGTCTGCTGTATGCAAATTGTATGTAAATGGAGCTGTGCTCGTATTCATAAGAGTAGAGGAAAACAGGAAAACAGTGAGGTTGGTGGGTCACTGGCCAATCATCAGCCTCTACCATGACCCCCTAACAACTCGGTTGAACAATTCAGGGGCACTGGGTGCTGGGTGGTGCTAGTGACACAGTGGTGACAAATGACAATCCTGGCCCTCCATCATGTGCTCCCACTCCCATGGGGGAGACAGACCTGCCCCCAGAAAGGGATGACCCAGAGGGGGTGAGGCTCAGACAGGGGCACCCAGAGGGCCTCTGACCCAGTCTGAGGGTCAGGGAGGGCTTCCTGGAGGAGGAGACAAGTAAATTAAGTCAAACATTTGGTTTCCAGAAGGTAACGACAAGAAGGGGGGGATGATAAAATTTGGGGACTGAAGAAGATGGGAGAAAAAATTCACCGAGGGGTAGCATGGTCATTTTTGCCCTTGGGAAGCCCCTGGTCTTCTAAGGAAGTGAGGGCATGAAGGGCACGTGTGAGTTTCTGGACAAACAGCATTCTCCAAGTCAGGACTGGGGAGGAGGGAGACTCAGAACCCAAGCAAAGGACAATCGGGGCAGACTAGCTGGAGAGCTGACTAGGCAGGCCGGGGCAGGGGCTCAGGACAGGAGAAGGGTATTTATTCATTCATTCAACAGAAATTTATTTATATCCACTCTTGGCCCAGCCCTGTGCTGGCTGGGGCTGGGGAACGCGAGGGTGACCAAGATAGCCTAGGCCCCCACCCTCATGGGGCTTACGGTAAACAAGTAAATAAAAATAAATATAATGTTTGGAATTGATAAGAGTGCTGGGGGCAAAATAAACTCAATGTGGGGGGGCAGCCACTGGCATGGACTCGGATCTGGAGGAGGTGGTCAGGGGAGGGCTCAAGGGAAGGTGAAGGTGAAGGTTGGAACAAAGAGCAGGTGCTGGTAGGCCCTGAGGCTGTCAGGGGGAAGAGGACTTCGGGCAGAGGAAACAGTCAGTGCAAAGCCTCTGGAGTGAGAGAGTGCCTGAGTTTTGAAGGAGAGCAAGTGGAGCAGGGCAGCTGGAGCAGAGGGAGGCCGGGAGGGTGAAAGGAATGGTTGATGATTGATGGGACTGGCAAGGGACCAGCCGATCTTTTTGGATCTTTTGATCGGGGCTTTGTAGGTCCTGTTGAGGACTTTGCCTTTTACTCTGAAATAAAGGAGAGCCACAAGAGGGCTCTTCGCGGAGGAGGGATGGGATTTGACTTAAATGTTAACAGGATCCCGCTGGCTGCTGAGTGGGAAACAGAATATGGGAAGGGAGCTGCCAGGAGGCCAGTGACAGGTGACTGCAGGAGGCAGCTGAGCAGGGTGGTGGTGGGGTGAGCAAGGAACAGTGGTCAGCGCTGGGATTTGTTTTGGAGGCATACTTCAAAATGACGGAAGAAGAACAGGGCGTTTTGGGATTATGTAACACAAGCCCCTTGCCCATCTTGAGAAAAAGGGCGACCAGGGGCCCTGAACTGGAAGGACCTCTCAGAATGATCCCGGGCCCTGTTCCAAGGCGGTCACTGGAGAGGCCAAATGACTAGGCCAGGGTCACAAAGCTGGTGAGTCAGCGCTGGGGTTATCCTGGGCTCCCTCTCCCCTCTCCATCTCTGCCTCTGTTCCCATGCCCCAGGGTGGCCGAGGCTGCCCGCCTTGGCTGATGGGGTCACCCTCCCTCTCTTGGCCCTCGGGGATCACCAGGAATGGGCATCCTTCCATAACCAGGCTGGAGAGCAGGAGCAAGCACCCAGCTCTGGATAGGCCTTGCCCTTTCTGCTAGGTCACCTCCCTCCCTTCCTCCCAATGGATGTATAATAGGCTCCAAGCTCCTGATGAGATGTGAAGATCCTCCTACACATATACACCCCGCCTTGTCCCAGAAGTTCCCAGAAGAGGTTCCTGGAAACCCTTCTCAGAGAAAGGAAGAGGAGGGCGGAGGGGAATGAGAAAAAAAAAAATGAACTTAATGAGGAAAATGGTTTTACAGGAAGGGAGGGGGGATCACTGAGATGCAGGAAGTTGGGGCTTTGGTACTGGGTGCGGAGAGAAAAGAGGGAAGCCTGGGATCTATGGGGCCCAGTAATTTTCCCACCCTAAAGCCATAAAGCTACTGGGATGGAGATGTAAGGGGCCAGAACCTTTTGGAACACACTGCCCTCGGAGAATCAGATGAAAGCCTGCACTCCACTCCTCCATGAAATGCTCATTCCCATTCATTCAATAAATATTTATTGAGCATCTACTGTGTGCCAGGCACTTTTCTAGGAGCTGAGGAAACAGCAATGAAATAAACAGAAAAAAAGTCACGTACAGTTTGGAAGTTTCCTAAGTCCATCCTGGGAACCTCACCCTTCGAGTAGGCCCCTAGGCCCCCTGACTACCACCCTCAGGAATCAGGAGATGACTTGATTGGGACTCAAGAAATCCCAGCCTTGGCTCCATCCTGATTATGCCTGGAACTTTGGGTAAATCCTTTTCTTCCCCTGGCCTCAGTTGGCCCGTCTGTAAAATGGGAAGGGGGGTATCCCAAGGAGATAATGGACCTTGAATAGACCCCAAGCTCTATCACACCTTCAGTCCAGAAGGGATCTTGCAAAGTGTTGTGGTTAGTTTTTGTTTATTTTTGTTTTTTGTTTTTTTTTTAAAGGTTTTATTTATTTGTTAGAGAGGGAGTAGGGGCGGGGCGGAGGGAGGGGCTGAAGAAGAATCCCAAACAGACTCCCAGCTTAGTGCGGAACCTGACCTGCTAGGCTCCATCTCACGACCCTGAGATCATGACTGGAGCTCAAATCAAGAGTCGGACTCTTAACTGACGGAGCCATCCAGGCGCCGGGGAAGGTTGTTTTTATGGAGTCTTGGTATTTTAAGGAATTTAGAATATCTGGGTTCATGCATGTCAGTGCCATCATTATTACTGATGGAGAAATGGAAGTCTATTTGTGTCAGGGATTTGACAAAAGGACACAAAGGAGCTGGAGTGGATGCTGAGGAAAGCCCTGAAGGCCAAGGGGCCCCGATGGGGTTTCCGCCTACACACCGCTCCGCTGCTCCTCTCTTCCCCTTTCCCTCTCTTAGACGTTCTCAATTACCCACCAAGACTCGCCATCCAGAAATTTCTCTCAACCCTTTCCTGACCTTGTTTATATGATCTTGCTCCCTGCTGGCTAAAGGACGACAGCCTGAAACATGTCCTTAAACTCCTTGAGCCAGCTCCCTGGGGACCCTCGCCCACCAGTGGAGGAAGTGGGGCTGCTTGAGAACGGGTGTGGTTTTAGCAGCCAAGACACGGGGCCATCACCTTCGGGGGCTGAGAGACCTTCTCCCGCGGCCCCCTCTCTGGGCCTCCGCTGGTCAGTTCCTCAGGAAAGGGCTGGATTCGCTAATTCTGGGATGAAATGCACCCTCAGGACAGTGTTCAGACCCGCAGAGCAATAAGGGCTGCTTCTCCGGGGCTTACTGTGCCTGGCACCATTCTAAGCACCTACCACGGTTCCCTCACTGTTTTTACATTCAAGATTTGCATGCAAGCCTTACAACTACCCAACAAGATGTTCTTATAGTTCCCATTTTGTAGATGGGAATACTGATGCCCAGAAAGGTTACGTCACTCGCCTAACATCACAAGCAAGTAAATGGCGGAGCTGGGATCCCAGCCCAGGTCTGTTTCACTACAGGGTCGGTTTCTTCTTATTCCCAGGGAGAGGTCTAACCTGAGAGGAAAGCGTATCTGGGACTCATTATCCCTAATTAGGACTAATTAAGAGCCTCTTTTAAGCGGGGAAGCCACCTAAGTACAAGACGTCACGAAGGAACACGGCGACAGCAGCCAAGGCGGGCGTGGGAATCCAACCACGCTCCCGCGAACAGCCGTTTAACGGCACCGCCCCCTGACCCGCCTCACTTCCGCCTTTATTTGCATATTCAGCGATCGGACGTCAGGCGTCAGCGTCGACGCGGTGACATCAGGGAGCGCTCCTGCAGTGCTCCACCCCCGAGCGTACGCACGTACGCACGCACGGAGACGAGAGGGCGGGGGAGGGAGAGATCGGAGGCGCCCCGCCCAGTCAGCAAGGTTGCGCGTGCCCCGTGCGACCGCCAAGATGGTGGTGGGCGCGTTTCCTATGGCGAAGCTGCTATACCTGGGCATCCGGCAGGTCAGCAAGCCGCTTGCCAACCGCATTAAGGAGGCCGCCCGCCGGAGCGAGTTCTTCAAGACCTATATCTGCCTCCCGCCGGCTCAGCGTGAGTTTGACCCCACGTCCCTCCAACCTTTTCATTCTCCAACCCCTCTCTGGTGGTTGCTCAGGGGATGGACTTCTGTTTACAACCAGTCACAGCCCGAACCGGCAAAGTCCTGCAGCCAATAGGGAGGGATCCTGGAAGAAGGGCATGGGGGTTGCCCAATAGTCGGCTCAGGCGTGGGGCAGGGAGCGGGGCGGGACGCTGGCCCCTGGGTTGGGAATACAAACCAATAGAGGAAGAGAGCGCGTGGAGACTGACGTCCAGACGAACCAATAGTAGGGGAGAAGTGAGTAATATGGTTGGGACATCCCAGGACGAGAGGAGTTGGGGGCGGGACTGAGGAGAGACTTGACCGGGTGGTTTGCCCGGCCGCTCTTAGATAATTTGAGTTCCAAAACCCCACCCCGTGCTTCAGTTGCCCTCTTGTCCTGGGCGGTGAGGTGCCTGACCTGGCATGGCGTTCAGGGAGGGCTTTCTGACAGAGGAGACCTCTGGGCGGGGATCTGAAGGGTGAGGAAAACCTCACCAGACCGCAGGGATGATGTCGAGGGGGAGCGGGGAGCAGCAAGGCCAGGTGGTTAAGGGGAGCGTACCTTTATTCCTTGTGAGTGTGGGTGCACTCACAAGTTTGCAGAATTTTTGGTCCTTTGGTGTTTGTGGGGCCTCTGCCAGAGTTGCGGATCTGAGAATGGAGAAAGTTAACAGAGTGCTCTCCTATAAGCTCTCTCCTTTGACTCTCGCTTGTTTTTGTCCCCACGTCAGGGAGGGGAAATGACTTCCCCAGTTTATAGCAAACAGGCCTCGAGACCAGAAGTGAATTGCTCAGGTCACACGTGGTGTCTATGCCAGGGTCAGGACTTGAATCCCAGAGCGAGTTTCTGTTTCCTGCCACTGGCTTTCCCATAAACCGTGTGATGTGTCTTAGCGCCCCGGTGTAGAAAGTGGCTTCTTGGGTCAGACTGGCATGGGTTCTCATCTGCACAACCCACCCCACCCCCTGGCCCAGTCACTTAACCTCTTCGGAGCTCCGGTTTTCTCTTCTGTACAATGGGTATTATATAATAGCAACATTTAATGGGCACTCGGCTTTGTGCCAGACCCTACGCTAAGCACTTCACTGGCCTTCCATCCTTAAATCCTCACAAATTACGAGGTAGGCACTGTTATTTTGTGTATAGGCTCTGTGCATTTATGCTGTAAATAATACTTATGTTGTTATGAGGAGTGAATGGATTTCAAATGTTAAGTCAGTGGGTGGCACCAAGATATGGCTGTTGTGTAGATGGTGTGGTTACAGAAAAGAAGCAACGGCAAAAAAAAATCTTGTCCTTGGGAATTTTACATTCTTGGGGCGGGGATGGGGTGAGGGAGTAGCCAGCCAGTAAACAAAATAAATGAATATGAATTAAAATATGAATTATATTAGCTA